ACCCAGAAATTCCCAAAGTACCCCGCCCCCCCTCCCCAGATCATGGTCCAACAAAAAAACTGATGAATCCACTATTGGCAAGGATTCATCCTTTCCTTTGAAATCCCAAAGAAATACACCCTTGATGTCATGTATTGTAGGGAAGGTATATGCTAATAACCTTGGAGTTCTCGACTTATTAGTTTGTGTTTCGCTTGACTGACAAGCGCATTCTTCTTTCAGCACGACAATCTCCGTCGGTAGCTCTAGAGTCGAATCTAAATCGTTTCTTTTCACTTTCCTCGTATATTTATAAATGGTTGATCCAGTCTAAGTTTGTAGTTTAAGATATATTTCGTTCCTCAAAGACGAAGCTCAAGGAACGAAACAATTCTGTATTCGGAATGGCCGTAATTCGAAACGGTATCCGGTCACTTCGCCCCATGGGCATTTCTCCCCCAGTCACTTCGCCCCAACCAAAAGTCAGTTCGCTTCATAATCGAAGTTACTTCACTCCATACAAAGGTTTATTCGCTCCAAAAAGAAGTTACTTCGCTCCGTGATATAATTAAAGTGTATATATGCTTAAAAGATTATTTGCCTAACCGATGTTATAGTCGTGCCATTTACATACATACATACATGAACTTTATTAATGTGTCTTAACATCTAGCCGATGGGGAAAAAAACCCTCTACTAATTGGGGACTATGATTAATACGATCTTGATGACGTGTTTGTAATTGTTCGTTTGACTCGCCCTAATCTCTCTTTGTCCCCCACGCCATGCCGATGTTTTTGATGCGCTCTTGGTATTTCGCGCTCGTTGATCGATGGCCAATGGAATTTCAAAAACTGTAACCCTGTAGAGTATGAACTGCTTGTAAAAAGCTTTTTGTTAAACATGTTCGTAGTTAAAGGACTTAAAAAGCGACTGAGATTTTGGCGTAGTTAAGGCGATTGAGTCTAAATACCTTTGTTTGATTAATACGCGCGTTGTTTAGTATTCACTTGTAGCACTTACGTAGCAACAAAGTCAAACACACGGTCCGTTGATCGATCGATGGCCCATCGTATTTGAAAAACTTTGAAATCCATCCACGGCTTTACGCGCGTTCTTTAATAAACTGCCCTCAAAACCTTTTTTATTGAATTGCGCGTGTAGTTGCACAAAACGTCTTTGAATGACGACTGTATTTTTGTTTTCTTGCCACACGTACCCACGTGTAATGTGTGAACTTATGTTCATTCAAGGTGAGACTCTTTTTCGACACCGCGCCGACCTTGTAACAAGCCTTCGTTCCGCATAATTGGAAAAATTGTTCACGGTTGGTCAGGCTGAAACCAATTTGTTGAATTGTTGTTCAACCGCTCTAAGTTATAACGACTAATCTTCAACTCTGTTGCTGTACTGGGAAATTGTTGAACCGAGTTTGCGACCGGCTTTCTTCTAATAAGAGACCACGAACAAACTTACTGACGGACGTACGGTTTAT